GCTTTTAACCCGCTCCTTGCTGGAACTATCAGGTAAGTTAAAAAAAAAATCTCAAGGTGGAAAAAAAATTCTAACTGCAAACAAAATCTATTTTTAATGGACATTTTCTCATCTATCTCTCAGGTCAAAGTTGTCGAGAAGACGAGCCGGACAGATGAGGATGTGAAACAAGACATTTTAAAAAATGTCATGAGAGCAACTCAAAGACTATGATGTACATAGATCCTTGTCTCTATCCCGTTTCTCCTGCTGAGCCCCGTCTCCACCGCTAGAGTCACCAACAACCATCTCTCTCCCCCGTACGTTCTCTGTTTATCACTAGTGTCCTCAGCACCTAAAGCACCCATTTCCTGTCAGGCCTATTCTGCAATGTGAGTCTCTTAGTCTGAAGAACCTCTTCAAAAACCTGTCACTGTACTGTACTGGAGTTTGTTCATAACTGGACGAGAGAAGAAAATGGAGGGAGTAGCAACAGTTTCTTATCTCAGATTACATGCGTATGGTAATGTACTGTAGTTGTTGTCGGTGACACATCAAGCCTTATACATCAGTTCTTAAAAAAAAAAAAAAAAAAAAGCAGTGACAGGCATGTTTTCCTAAAGCTGCAAGGATCACATTGCTACATTTGCATCAGTAAATAGAAAAACTCTTCTACAGCTATATATAAAGGTCTAAACTGATTTGCATACAACATACAGCTAAAAAATACGAAGGGACAGTCACGTGTCTCTCTCTTAGGAATATTTCTCTCTTCTTTCTGGTCCATAAATCCTGATATCCAGTAAGCTGCTTCCTCTTCCTAAAACTTCTAGAAACCTTAGCACACACAGCCTGGCACAGGAATGGCATCTCATCATAAACTTTATGTCGCTGTAGTAAATTCATGTTGTTTTTAGCCACTCGTAGGAGCACTGAGGTTACCTGCATTCCCACAAGAAGTAATCAGATGTCATGACATTAATTCTCCCATTTTAATCTCTACCTGTATTTTATTTGTTTTAAAATGTGATATATTTAGATATTTAACAGTTTTATTATTTATTTCTGCGTGTATTTATTTTTAAAAAAAAGCATTTATATTTCTAAAGTAGTAGTACAGTGCAATTTCTGCACACTGCACTTTTTAATGAGTTCTTTAAATGTTTAAATGATACAACCTTTTCCCCTCGTAATGAATATTACTGAAACAATTTAATAACTCACAGCTTCTTTATGCTGAAAATTACTTGAATAAATGCAATCTGATAAGCGATTAGCATAGTCACACTTTAGACCCAGCTAACATGCATTTAAAATGCCCAGTAATTAGGTAGATGATATAAGTAGGTGGCCAGTTCATCCTCTGCTGCACAAAGCTACCTTATTCAATCAAAAGAAAAAGATGAAATCTTCTTCACAGTACAGAATATGAAGCTGTTTTTTTCCTGAATGATATGTATATTGATTGAATGTAGTGCCTCTCTTTTCATGCATACTGCACACTACAGTATGCCTCTGCACCGGTTGCTTTGAAACTACATCCTTCATGCTGCTAAAATACTGTTCTGGGAGTGTCTGCAGGTCATATCATCACTTTCCTGCCTTCCATCATCATCATCGTCATTTCAAGTCCAAGCAGAAGGTTTCATTTATGATATCATAAAGTGTGGAATTTCCATAACACAAAGCATACTCAGAGAAACATATTTCAGGATTTTCACTCATACAAATGGCCATATTAAAAGGAACCCTGACTATGACCACATGTATAGTTTATTATATTAACATTAAAATCACTTAAAACTTAAAAGGGATGCCAATAAATCTACTGTAGATGTGTTAGTAATAAAGATTTGAACTCGAATGCTACCTTGGTTAGAAACACTGAACACGTACAAACTGCTGAGCTGATCGAATGGTCAGATTTTCACCTTTTCTGTAAACAGAGTCGTGATCTTTGGTTTGCTTTCAGAGCAGAGGGTTTACTGTCAGCAGCAGCTATTGTTTCCCATTTTTCAGGTTTCTTCAAGCTATTTTGAATCACTACCCAAAAACATTTGGACGCCTATAAAAAGATTGCTGGAACAGCATTTAGTTTCAATGATCATTTCCAGCAGTATTTGTCAGCTTTTTTTGTGACTAAATGCATTAAATGCATTAGTGCTGAGAATGCAGCCACAGGTTCTTTCTCCTTTTCTCAGCAGCAGGAGATTAATGATCATGTCTCTTGTTTCCTTACTGCTGGAAATTACAATCAAAAGTAGCAGGGATACTGTTTATGGTTTGTATACTGCAGGTTGTTAAAAAGAGCATTTAGTTTATGTCACTGACCCAGAATTCATTGCATACTAATAGTACTTGCAACAGTTTTGTTGAATGTTGGCTATTTAAAGCATATTAAGGCCCACAAGTTAAATAGTCGGGGCTCCTTTTACACAGTTTTAGTCCTGTTGGCAAATTTTTGATGAAAATGCAACCATGCCTCTCGTTTAAAAACCCTCAAAAGATAAAGCATGTGAGCTGTTGTGAGAAGTTGGACTGATGAGCGTGCCTCAGGTCATCCAGCCTAGAGAGCATGCTCAGTGAGAGCATGACGTGTCATTTGAGTGTAAGTGAGAGTAAAATTAAACATAGCTCCAGTTCAGTATGTTCTAAGTTTGGCTGCTGATGTAATACCTTCATTAACGTCTAATAAGAAGTATCTTTCCAGAGGTTTTAAAGTATTCTGTGTGCTATGGAAATCATCAGTTCATCGACAGTTGAGACAAATCAAACAACCAGAATATTTTTTTGTAACAAACAGATTAAAGTGTACTTCAGGCCACCATATCTCAAACATGTTTTTGTCGCATCTCATTTCCTAAAATTCAACGTGGTCAGAAAAAAGAATGCGTGTTCCCGGGTTTGCTCCAGTCTGGTTTCCATGGTGACTTTTTTCCTCATGTTTTTATTGGGCCTTTTAATGTACATCACATTTGAGCCAACCAAAGTTTTGTTGTTGCAGTCACAAAAATGTAACACTGAATGTAAACTGATCTTTGAAAATACTTACTCTGCTGAAATAATCGTTTTGAATTGTCTTCACATTCCGGTTCCTTATTGATTGTACGTAGGTCAATATCAGGGAACCTTTTGGAGGCTGTGGGACATAGCTGAAGCAGTCTGTCCACTAATGTATGGGAGGGTGGTGGTTCACTGTGTCCCAGCTGGGCATCATGTACAGAGTAATGCTGTAGGTTACCTTACTGTCGAGTTTTCAGTATCACCGTCATGCTCTTGGCAGCCTTCACTTAATCTACTTTTTCTAAACCCTCCCCTTTTCAAGGAACATCATTTCCATTTTTGTGCTTCCATATCTTTTTCACACCATTACTTTTCTTTCTCTTCAGATATTTTTTTGCATTGTATATAAACATGATTGCTGTGAACACTGTATTATAAAGTTGCACCCATTTACAAATGGGCCGTAGTTCAGTCGATGTCTCTGAGTGTTGGAGTTTTAGCGTCAGCTGTTTGTGTACACTAAACACATTGTCATATATGAAATAAACATGGAAAATATGCAACACAAAAATGACTTCTCTCTTTTTTTGTTAAAGACAATACAACTTTTGATTTTGGCATGTCAGTTGGGCAATCACAGATATTGTTATGATGTTGATAATGTTTATCTGGAAAACCCAAACTCAAAAACCCCAAATCAGACTTTAACGTACTCAAAGAGCTCTGCCATCAAAGTCCATCTGGCAGACTTTGCAACTAAGACATAGATGCATCACTTTAGTCTGTCATGACATCAGTTACAGCTAATTGTTCCTCCTTCTGCATTGCTTGGCTCATCAGCTATTTAACAGGTAACTATGCTCAGCATAGAAATGTGTCACATGTCAGTCCTTATCTTGAAGTGACTCTAAGCCCAAGCCAGCTGTATTAGTGTTAGAATTATGAAGGCGAGAACTGTATGTTGGTGTTGTATGTTTTAATAGTACTCAGCAGAGTACAAATCACACATACTTTTCGTGATGCATTACACTGGAAAAAATTGAGGCCTGCAGTTTGTGAGCTGTGAGCCCATAAAGTCATCAGGAAAGCATTCACTGAGTTCACAGGTTAAGTAGCCAAGGCGGTTTTTCACACACTTCTATATGACTGAAAATCTTTGAACATAAAATGTGGGTTAAAACATTTCAGCAGCTTCATACGGAAGAGGATTAGGGCCACCAGGGGGGAAAAGTGGGCACGTCTTTTTTTTTTTCTTCTTTTCCTGAATTTTGATAAGAAAAAAGTCAGAATTCTGACTTTTTTTTTGACTATTAAGAATGAATTAATCGCAGAACAACTACGATCAGAGAAATGAAATACTCCTGGCACTTTCAGCTCCCTGGCTGTTGCTAAGCAGCAGACGCCAGTGTTGCCATGTCTGTGTGTCAACGTTTTTTAAGAGCTGTTTCTAAAATAATTCTCTTCTTATTTTACTTACTTACTGTTAATATAAGTCTTCATCTACTAGATTTAAGTTGATGTTTTGTTTTTTGTTTTTTTTTTCAACATGGTACCTGCCGGACTTCAAACGAAAATAAAACTAACCATTCTGAGTCTTCCCCAAGTTGTGAGGTGACAAATCTCTGAATAATTTTTGCTTTTTAGTAATTAATTATATTTACAAAATAAAGAATAAAATACTGAAGAACATGACAGTAACACTCAATTCTTCTACATAATAAATTAATATTTCTTGTGCGTTTTCTTCGAGATATTAAACTGTGGGGTTTCCTTTAACAAATCTGGCAACCCCGTCTGGGACGTGACAGAAACATGCTAGCTGGCTGATGATTGACCCGTATAGTTGTAAATCCATTTAGGAAATCTTCACATCAGCTTACAAGGTCAGATACAAAGCTTTGGCTGTCCCTGGAGGATTCAGTTCCTTTATCAATTTAAGCTTAAAGGCGGAATCACAGTTAAATACGATCTTATAGCGAAACTAAGTTAGCTAAAAATTAGCTAGCTGCAGGCTAAAGTGAGAGCTGTCACAGAAAGTTAGCGCTAGCTGGATAATGAAGAGCTCCAGCTGACTGACAGTGTCCCTAAAGATATCTGTGGTTCTTTTAATACGTTTTCTGTGTGCTGGTTGACTAGAACAGTGTTGTGAACAGGGCGCTATCAGCTGGATGTTACGTTTGCTGACTACTGACAAGACACTGGACAACTATGACCATTAAAAAAAAATCTTTTTTAAGACTGTGTGTTCACTGAACTTATAGCACTATAGAGGGTCTGCTAATAAGTGCGCATTTCATAAATTTGTGAAGCTGTACGTGACTAACACTGCGTGATGAAGCAATCCAAACCGTGTGCGTGGCACAGTCACTAGAATTGGCAAGCATTCAGTTTGTGATGCAGAAAATCCATGAAAAGGTTTTAGATAAGTTTTACACTGCTGGAAATGCAGCGAATGGGACACAAGGTAGGCAGTCATTTAAGCTGTTTATCACAGAGAATATCTAATAACTACGTTTCAGTTTCCTTTTTAATGTGCAGCTGTCACTTTAGAAATAAACAGCATCTCTTTGATGAGAAATCCATTTAAATCCATTAAAAAGCAAAGAAGCAGATGAACTGTGAAATAAACAAAAGTTGCATATTCATCAACACGTCTCTGTTTTCCATATCCTGTCAGTCTGTCTCTACAGATTACAGATCGCAGCCAGAGGAACAAAATCTTGTATTTTATGCAAAATAACAATAATGTGTATATCTTTGTATAATTAAAACAACTTACTGAAATAGATAAATACTTTAGTCTTTATTTATAATCCAGTTTTATAGACTAATGCTAATCACCACCAAAATATTTTGTAGTGACTGCAATTCTTACACTTTTGGTGGGCGGATTCAGGGTAAGGGTCTAAACTCATTCAGTCACATTTTGATGTGTGACTGAACAAAAAACTGGATCCCAGATATCAGAATAAAGTAAATAAAATGACACACACACAAAGTATCAGCATCTGCCGTCAGTGAATGTCATCTTATTTGCAGACAGACTGATGGTAGTTATAATCTAGTTATAATCTAATTTATCTACTCAGACATCCAGGTAAATGAAATAAATGTTCTTTCCTCTCCAAGGGTATTATGGCCAAAAAGCTTGATGATGTCCCGCTGGTACAGGGTCCGACCTTCGGTGAACGTAATTTTCATCACTTTTCTGAGATGAATCTAGACAGGTAAGAAAATAATGTTGATATATATCAAGTTACTTGTACAGCAGCTGTGATGCTGTAACTTAGGACTGCTGAATTAATATTGATTTATCATAGTTACTGAGGTTATAGGTAGGTTTTAGAAAATTTGTGTATTTTCTTTAAATATTTTTCTTATTTTAAGAATGGTCAGAAACAAAAGTAATTGATTGCAATTTAAGTAATTGAAATTTCACTTTTTTATGAGTTGATCTTGTTAGTAGATGGTTTATTAATATGTTATGACGCATATACTTCCCATAGGACAATGCACAAAGTGTGATGAGAGTATTTTGTATATTTCAGGATCTACATGGATTACAATGCTACTACCCCTCCAGAACCAGAGGTGATTCAGGCCATTTCTGAAGCCCTCCAGGATGCCTGGGGAAACCCAAGTAGCAACTATATAGCAGGTGAGGAAGGCTTGAAGCTGTGTCAAAACTAACAGGTTTAAAATTATTGTTATTATTTTTCATTATTTTTCCATGTGTATTGAATAAAGTTTTCATTATATAAAAGTTTTTGAATAATTTTTTTTTTAAATTCCATATTGTATGCGCAAAACCCAGCCTAGTGACAAGAATTGGACATTAGTGCTCTAACTCTGTATCCCTGTGTGAAATATGACAAGGTCACTCTACCAAATAAATACAAAAGAAACTGTTAAATGTATGTTGTGTAACTGGAGGAGGGAATACAATCACAGCAGCTTGTGTGGATTAAACTTGTGGCTTTCTCTGAGTGCTGAATGTGAAGTTTTTACTGTTCTAAGTGAGTTTCACTGTCAAAAGAAAATGCTACATCTCAATGTTTCAATCATTTATATTTTCAGGTGCTAAAGCTAAGGCTATCATCAATCAGTCCAGAGAAAATGTGGCAAGAATGGTTGGAGGGAAAGCAGAGGACATCATTTTTACCTCAGGCGGAACTGAGGTGGGCAGGGCTCTTTTTTGACGCAAATAAGTTATATGAGTAATTTATGATCCTGGGACATTACAAACTGGTCATTTACAGTAAAGATTTTGTCTTTCAGGCCAATAACCTGGTGTTGCACACCGCTGTAGAGCACTTCAGGAAGCACTGCAGGGCTGCAGAACAAGGTGCAGGACACCAGAATGGATGCACGGGCCTTCCTCACATTATTACTTCTAATGTGGAGCATGACTCAGTCAAACTAGTTGCTCAGCACCTTGAAAAGGAAGGAAAAGCAGGTAGGAAGCCACTCTGTGTAGCTTTTATTAAAATAAAAGATTAATAAAGAAATATTTCCTGTATTACAAAGGACAGTCAATGCTTTTCTTTATTTTACTTTAAAGAGAAATCTGTCAATAACATGCTTCAGATTTTCTGTGGGCAATCAAAATGTCTAAAATAAATATCAAGACAATTAAAGGTCTTAAATTATTTTATATCCCATTTGCTGCCAATAACATTAATGTCATAATCTTTTTTTTAATGAAGATGTAGTACCTTCTATGTGCCAACATGTAAGAGTGCTAACCCAATGGAAAACTTTCATTTAATTCCGCTTTTTTACATTTTAATTATTAATTATTGAGTTTCTGAAAAGGTCTTGAAAAGTACTGATTTCCATTTTTAAATAGTGCCGGATCCTTGATACTCTTCCAGTCATGGTTCATGTTAAATGTTGTCAAAGAAAAAGTGGATTCAGCATATAAACTGTTAAAGCACTGCCTCCTGGTGGTGAAAGTTTTGGTTTAATTCTGTGGAGGGCAATTACAAAAAGTACCTTTAAACAAATCAAGATTCGCATAACCTAATGTAGGCTCCTTGCCTTTAATTACTCTCTTTGTTTTTTGTTTTTTTCCATAGACGTGACTTTTGTGCCCGTCTCTAAGGTGACAGCCCGGGTCGAGGTGGAGGATATCATTGCCGCTGTGCGCCCCAACACTTGTCTCATCTCTGTTATGCTGGCCAACAATGAGACGGGAGTCATTATGGTAAGATGAGAGAGAGGCTAGAAAATCAGCCGAGTTTCTGCTAGTACTAATCTATCCATTCATCAATTTTTTTCCACTTACCCAGTTCAGGGTCGTGGACGGGCTGGAGCCTATCCCTGCCATACTAATGTTAGAGAAACCATTTTTGGGATCTTAAATTAGATGATTAACACGTAGGATAGTGTCTTGCTTTAAAGGAGCTTATTTTCTTATTAACTCATTACTTATAATTGCAATGTGTCTATGAGTCTATGCAGCTCTGTTTACAGCTGAATGCTGAACCACCTTCTTGTTGTCAGCCGCTTCAGGAGATCTGCCAAAGAATAAAGTCTCTGAACAAACAGCGTGAGCGCCTCAGGATCCTGCTCCACACAGATGCTGCTCAGGCCTTGGGGAAAATCCGAGTTGATGTCAGTGATCTGGGAGTGGATTACCTCACCATAGTGGGACACAAGGTCAGGATCTGCTGTGTGGGACATCTTAAGAGCTTTTTATAGCAAGACTAAAATGTTATTGAGAGGTTTTGTTGTGTTTCTAGTTCTATGCCCCTCGCATTGGTGCTTTGTACGTGAACGGCCCTGGGACCAAAACTCCATTGTATCCGATGCTTTTTGGTGGAGGACAGGAGAGGAACTTTAGACCAGGGTGATGATCTTTACTGTAAAATACTGAATAAGAATGAAACACTGGTAATAATGAAATAAGTGCAGTTCTAATTTATAAGTGTCTCCTTTCTGTCTTTGTTATTATTACAGCACAGAAAACACACCGATGATTGCCGGTCTTGGAAAGGTGCATTTCCTTCACTAAATGTACAGTACTGGAATGATTTCTAGGACTTTTCTAATGTTTCTCTTGAAGCATAAACCATTTATTTTCTCAGTTAGAGGCCCTCAAAGTACAAAGGGATTGTTTAAAATAAATTTTCCAGCATTTTTTGTTTAATCAAAATTCATAAGTGAAGGACATATATCCACATGACATTTTCTGGCCAATAATGGTTTAAACTGATGTATGAAACCTTGTATTTCATTAGTTGCATGTTATAAATGCTTTATACATACAGCACTATTAAGTGGTACCACAGTTTCTTTACAATAGAACTGCAGTGGACAAATAACATGAACAAACACATGATATTATTTTGGTTTGTTGTAGTGAATGTCTGCATTAATTACTATGGTTAAAAGCAGTCAATGTTCGATGACTAAAAATGGTTATTGCTTGTGGTGGAGATGGAAGATTAATCAGTAATGCTCTAAATATAAATAATGTGACACTTTCCAGCATTTAAAAAGCTTTCAAATACAGTGATTTATTGTAGGTGAATGTTTATTGATACATTGTTTACCACAGAATCTGTTGTGTTAGCATTATAATCATGGGCAAAGCAAAACACTTATTATTGCTACAAATACTTGAGTTGCATAATATAAATATTGTACTACAAGTATACTCACCAATCATTTAATTAGAAACACCATAGAGGTTCTCTTTGTCTCAGCTCTGAGTGTCAAGGGGTCCAAATAAAGTTGGAAACATAGCCACTTATCCAACTGTGGTCATGGGGAGGTCTGAACTGGTCCAGCTTAGAGCCAACACTTGGACAAACCCAGCAAGTATTGCTGAAACAGTGACTTTACTTCCCTAGTTTACTGATGAAAACTAAATCGCCATTGTTTCCACAGCAGTGGTCAGATCGTCACTTACAAAGCAAAAAAAATATCTGTTGAAGAAAACAAATGCACATGTGTTTGTTTTTTAAAATACATTTAATTGACAACTGATTTGGTTAGTAAAAGGGTGTGAACAGACAAACAAAGCCAAAGCAGGCTAAGGCTAGTGTTAAATCACACTTCAAAAAGTAACTATAAACAAGGGGACTATAGGGACAGAGCCATATTACCAAACAAGTAGATGGAACAAGTTGGTGAGGAATCGGAGGATGATTTTGAACTGATGTGCCAGCTGAGGCGGGAGCCGAAACCACAACGATGCAGTGACCATAAAACAGACAAAGAGAGAGTAAGAAATAGAGGTGTTGGGTAGACACTAGAGGATGGGTGTTATGAACGATACCCATCCCTAGGTACACACTGAATCCAATGTTTTTGGACTGTAGGAGGAAGCTGGATTACCCAGAGAGGACCCTAAAATCCATGAACATGAGGATTACACAGAGAGAGACCAGGAGATTCAAATCTGGAGCCCTGTTCCTCCAAAATGACAGTTTTAACCACTGCGCCACCCTGAAGCAGGTGTTTATTAAAGGTTTCTGGAGCTGTAACCTCTAGAATCGACACTCAGACCATGATTTATCGCTAGTAAGAGATCAACGGTGTGCCAGAAAGAAGAAGACTTCCCCTACTGCTATTAGTCCACCTGAACTAAACCAAAAGGCAGATTGGTTCAGGAATTCATGTTATTTTACACTTTATATTGTTTATATTCTTTATATTGGCAGATAGAAAACTGCCTGAGAAACCTCCTGTGTTTGCCTGAACACCATTTTTACATTCTATGTGAACATTTTTGGCTTTTTTTGCCAGACAGAAAACTAGGGGAACAACATGCAGGAAACGCTTTGGGGTGGAATCGAAGTCAGACCCTTGCAGTCTTTTTTGGAATATGGGTCACATATGCCCATATGCTTATGTGACCTGCTGCCAAGTGATTGTCCTTTTTTGCTTTATTGAATAGTAAGCAGGTGTGGAGGTGTTTCTAATAAAGTGCTTGGTAATTAAATAGCTGTAACAGTGTGCCTCTTTTAAAGCTACCTATTTATTATTTGTGTGTCTATTAGGCTGCAGAGCTGGTGACCTCTAATCTGTCAGATTATGAGAGTCATATGCAAAGAATTAAACTTTACTTAGAAGAACGACTGCAGGTGAGCTTGAGTCTGATGTGCACCTTAGTTTTGTTTGTTTGCATTGTGATGAGTAGTCTTGAAATTGTGGTTTTGACGGTCTTTCTTCTCCTTCTCTGTAAAATGTACTCCTTTGCGTTTCTTTCATTCTTCCAAAGGCCGTGTTTGCAGGCCGGATCCGCTTCAACAGCCATTTCCTCGGCTCTGATATCCTCCCTAACACATGTAACGTGTCCATCCTGGGCCCAAGATTACAAGGTGATGTCATGACTCTTCTCTGTCCTATGTCTGTTTTGGCTTGCTGGTCCCAACAGTGTCCTCTAACCCTACACCAATGTTTGTCAGAGGCAGGTCATGACCTGCACGAGGCTATTTGTAAACTACAAAGGCTTTGAATGATTAATCTCTCCCCCTCGTGCTTTAGGCTGGAGAGTATTGTCAAACTGCAGGAGGCTGCTAGCCAGCGTCGGCGCCGCCTGCCACTCAGACAGTGGAAACAGGTAAAAGAGTCCCTCTTTTAAGCTGTTATGCTTTTGTCCACACACTGTATTGTTTGCTGTTAGATAACACTCCCCTCCTGCTCTCTTCCTGTTTATATCCATCAGACCTTCCCACATCCTTCTGAGCTGTGGCGTCCCCTCAGAGGTGGCAGCTAACGCTATGAGGCTGAGCGTTGGCAGGGAGACGACTGAAGCAGATGTGGATGCAGTTGTGGAGGACCTGAGGGAAACCGTGCAACTGTTGGAAGAAATGAACTGATGGCTTTCATTTGCACAAAGTTATTCTGCAGGTCAAATAAGAATGCACAGAGCTAAACATGCGCCATCTGTGTTTATCGACACTTTAACCGATCATGTAAAATGCATGAAATATTTCATATAAATAATAAAAATGGAAAACTCAAAGTGACCTTAGGGGTGATGTTATGTAGGAGTGTACTCGGCTCCCATCACGTCATGTGAGGAGCGCTTCAGCTAATTGGAGTTGGGGAACATGTATGAGTGTTATGAAATAAAATATTTACATGCACTTTTAATATTTTCTCAAGTCAACGATGAAATGTTTCATGTGGGTTATAATATTCTACATGTACCAGCTGCTTAGTCGCCCTTCTCTTTGATTAATTTTTAAAATAGTTGTAAAAAATGACTCTCATTGTAATCCACCATGCCTTGGCTCGGACTTCTCCCATTACTTAAGTTTCCGTGCTGCCTCAGCTCCCCCATCTACAGTGAAGTGTGTGTGCATGTGCCAGCATATGGTCACTGCCACACAAAGAGAGAGCAGGAGGCCACGAGTGCTGCGCCTCCACCCGTCTTTCATTACCTTTCTTTCTCACCGGCTCTGACCCCCTCCTCTCTCCCCAACAGCTATGCTGGCCAGCTGGCTCCCACTCGAGTGTCGCTTTCCTGGCTCAGGAGGAGCCAACAAGTACACGAGGGTTTTTTTGTTGTTGTGTGGGACTTTGTGCGTGTGAGATGGTGTTTTACTGGAAGGGAAAGAGCTCCAGGGAGCTTGTTCAGCCTGTGCCATAACCCACTGATAGCAGCGAGGCATGGTGCTTCATCGGACCATCCAGGCAGCTCGAGCGGGAGATCTCGCAGCCCTGAAGGAGCTCGCCTCTTCTGGTCACCTCTCTCCAGGCATCACTGATGCTCAGGGTGCGGGCCCGGTGCACCACGCAGCCAGGTGTGGACGCCTGGACTGCCTGCAGTTCCTGGTGAGCGAGCTTGGGCTGGGTGCTGATCCCCGGGCCTCGAACAGGGCCACACCAGCACATGATGCTGCAGCTACTGGCAACATCCGGGAGCTGCAGTGGCTTGTGCAAGAAGGAGGCTGCAACATTGAGGTAAATATATCCACTCATAGGAATCTTGGCACAAAAAGTTAGAGAGTGAAATCCATCCTGAGAGCTTAAGGAATTAACTTGACTTCCACTGGCTTGAGTACATTTATTAATGTATTCCTTTCGCAGGTAGTTACACCTGTAAAGCCTAAACCAAGAAGTAATTGTTAGAAAATTCTTCTTTTTTTTAAAACTGCAGTGTTTATTGAACCTTTTGATAAATTACATTTATTAAAAGTTTTTTGGGGGAAAATCACAGTGATGATGTAGAGTTCTCAAAAACTCACTTGGCATTACAGGGTTATGATAAATTAACAAATTATTACATTGTAAATGATTAAAACACAATTTAAAGAGATATCAGCTGAAGTGGAATAAGGGCCGGACTTTACTAGTGTGTAATACCAATTTTTACCACAAGATAGTGGAAGTATGTCATTCGAACCTTTATTTTAGTAGGTAAGTCACTAAGTCACTTCCTGCAAAGGAAAGGAAAGGAAACCTTCTGATAAATTAAGAATAAGGCTAAAAAGAAGTGTCAGAAGTTAAAAGAATAGCAGCAAAGATGCAGAAACTGATAAAAATAAATAAATAACAGCCATTGGAAAGACAAACTCTGCCCCCTGGTGGTGAAAGTTTTAGTTAAATTCTGTAAAAGGCGATTGCAAAATGTGAGAAATACGTCATCATCTTATTCATTAAAGATTTGAGAGTTCTGTTTTTCAGGTATTTCAGTAAGCTAAATGTTTTCAGTATTCCACTATTCCAAATTTCAGATTTTGTTTAAAACAGAAGCATGAAAGTAACAAAGGATGAAAAAGAACTGACGATGATGATTTAATTGTTAGTTGTTGTTTTTTAAAGTATTACACGGTCATCAATTCATCTAAAATTTGGTTAGATGTATTTTAGAAGACGTAACATACAAGGATAGTCTAAAGGCAATAACTGAAAACTATAATTAATGGAATTAGAAGACTTTAGAATATCTGTTATGTGCAAAAGAAGCAGAATAGGAATAATAAACACACATTAAAAACATACTCTTAATGACTCCACTTGGTTATTTTAGCTATTAAAATCATTTTGTTCCTTGAGGGTCGAAAAATAAAGGAAAAAAAGTAATAACAGTAACAGCATAGGGAAAGGAATTAATTACAGTAGTTAAAGTAGTTTAAAAAATTCTCTAAAAGCTTAAACCTATTCTGATGTATTACTGACTGATTACATCATATGGTTTTGACTTAGCTGACATCCATTATGGTAATGTATCACATGTCCAGTAATTATGCCCAGATGGTTGCAGGAAGTATAACAGAGTAGAAGCAGAGTAAAGTTTATTTACATTGTTTTTCAAAACTGAATGTGCAAGATCAGATTTTTAAGCTTCTATTTTACTTACTGATTATCGGAAATCTCTTAGATAAGAATCTCTCCTGCAGCTTTTCGTATAAAAAACAGAAAGCGTTTACGGTTCAGTCTAAGGAGCTCGGAAAGTAAGGGACTTAGGCTACTATGACCTGAATGACTGAGAACCTGTGCACACACAATTACTCTTTACTTGTTTTATGTTACTTCATTTTTTTTAATCTGTTGCTAAAATGATAATCAAAAATCATTTACCTCCCCTGAGCCTGTAGAGGAGCAGGTTTTCAGTTTTGTCCACATCAGATCTCTGCGAATGTTTCCAGGATAGAGATGCTGCTGGTGCCACGGCCCTTCACCTCGCGGCTCGGTTCAGTTGTGTGGAGGTCATTAAGTGGCTGCTTTCTGTTGGCGGTGTGGCCAAGGTGGAGACAAACTGTGGAGCTGTGCCTGCTCACTACGCCGCAGCCAACGGGGACCTCACCTGTCTGAAACTGCTCATTCAGGAAGCACCTGGGTGAGTTCACAGCCCTAATTTCACTTCCTAATATTACAGGCTCTGTTTGCCTGCCTGAGGATGTTTGTACAAAGATAATCATCTGCATCCACACTTTTCAAAGCCATCCAGTGGGCTGAATTGGACCCTCTTACTAGATTAATATTAACTGACTTTGCGTTTCCATTTTTCCATTTGTTTTTAGTAAGTAAGTTTAGTAAGTATTTTGTTTTTGGAAGTATGTGCAAAGAGTTGCAAGTTTGTGAAACTTCATGTAGCGCTGTTAGGAAGAAACTTAAAATGTAAAAAATGTAAAAGTTAGAAATGTTATACTTTAGAATAATTTTTGATGATACTTCTGATCTGCTTTATTTTCCATGGCACTATAGTAACTGATGGACCCAAACAAAGCATAATAGCACCTGAGCCGCTGCTATTGGAAGTTCTTAAGCACTGATTAAGTGCAAGTTTAAAAAGTGATGTTTCAGACTCATTCTTCTATCAGGCAGGTATTAAATTTAGAAACTTTTGCTCTTTTAAAGCATTGAAAACACTACTTCTCTTTGCCACTGAGCGATCACCACAGATCTATAAGCATACCGTCCACATAAAACGAGATTAGCGGTTATACGATGGCCAAAGACCGTGGAACAACAGTCATAAAGTGAGCGAGTCCTAAGTTAAACGTTTTTCAGTTTTGAGTGATGCAGCTTCCAGTGGAAGTGAAGGATAACGCTGATTGACATGTGACAGCGTTGGTTACCTTTACAACTAGAGCTTAAACTGTCTACACAGCAATGCATGAAGGATTTTCTTTATGCACAGAACTACCCATAAGGAGTCCTAACAGCACTTGGGTACAGAGCCTAAAAAAGGCGGGCGTTAGCTTGGATCATGCCTCCATTAGGAAGATAAAGTATTTGTAGACATTATGAGCAACTAATCTCAATCCGTCAAACATTTCATTTCAGTTTGTAAAGTTTCTTCTTTTTTGTCCTTAGCAGTGAAGTTATATTTTTCACTGCCCATCCCCATTTATTTAACCTGCATGAAACAACACATGAAGGACACTGTAGGAGCCATATGAGTTGTTTCCGTCTGACTAAATGAGTTGGTTTAAATGGACTCACTGTATTGGTGCATGGGTGTGGGGCGTGTCTCATGGGTGTGGTATAAGGTGAAGGTGGTTGCACTCACTTGTACACAGCACCTGATGTGATGAGCAGAAGGTAGGGTGAGCACGAGGCAAAACTTTCTGTTGACCGCAACATACCGCAACAGAGCACAACTTGAGTGTAACTTGAATGATTTTGTTGTATTTTAACTGGAACTTGATGGTGTTTGTATATCGGAGTACTAATTAATGCCATAAACCAGGTTGTAATTGGACATAATGGTTAGTACAGTTATCGACGAGTTGCAGTTATTTGTTTGTGCAATCTGTGCGTTTGTTTGATAGTTAATCCTATGTTCCGATGTATATATTGGACGGTTGCATGTGTAAATAAAGAAGCAAATGTTACAGAAGTGTTTTGTGCGTTAATTGTTGCGCGTCATCAGGTGTCCTCATGTTTAGCCTGCCGCGGCCATTGGTTGGAGTAGCCGCAACAGACACCTTAAGAGCATGCTGGGTAAAGAATCTACAATGAACTTCTTCACGATGTTGTACTTTCAGATGCATGTCCGCAACATCCACAATCACATTATTTAGCAGTCTGCTGTAAGTATAGTTCTCTGAGAACTGCTGTTCTCTTTTCTATAGATAAATTCTCCTCCCTAAAATCGCATCTTTTTTTCACCTCATGATATGTTATCAGTTGAGACCAAGGTAATGGGATAAGACAAAGGTGATTTTAGGTATATTTTTTACTGTTTCACTGCAGCCCTAGATGGCAGATTAGTTCTTGTAAGAACTTACTTTGTAGAGTAGGGCTGGGTATCGTCACTGATTTCTAGAATCGATTCGATTCTGATTCACAAGGTTCCGAATTGATTCGATTCAATTTGATTCAAATCGATTCAATTTGAATCTGGGAAATTTTGCTGCTGGTTCAGTCAATATTGTTTGGAGAGGGATAAAACCTGCAGCTTCAGAATCAGTGCAAAAAGGAGGTAAACACAAAGCGCGGATCTGCTGAAACATCAGAATCAGCGAGCTGTCAGCTTTCAGCCGCGACCGTGTCCGTGCCGTCGGGTGAGAAAAGCGACATCTCACTGATTCTTATGCGTTAGTGCGTCCACGCTTTGTGTTTACGTCTTTGTGCAGAATCCGTGTACCTGCTCTCATTTACTGTTTTAGCTGTTTGGTGGTGGTTGAAATTTTGTGACT